CTGCCGAGGCCGACTGGGGTTCCAGGAGACAGAAGCAGAGATATAAAAAGCAACTGTAAAAGGCGGCCCAGTCCAGGAAACACAGCCAGACAGACGAGCTCTGAGTCGGCTCCCATGTCAGAGGATGAAGAGACCACATCCAGCCAGTCACAGTCAGAGAAACAGGACTACACTGGAAAAACAGGCCAATCTCCAACATCTATAAACAAAGGTGTTGATGGCAGCAGCACAGCTGGTATTTCTCTCCAAGATGGCGTCACAAACACAAACAAATAAAACATTTTATTGGAAATATTACCTGTTGGGTGAGTTTAGAAGTAATAAAGTCACCTAAAATCTATTAGATGGGTTATAAAGATAAGAAGGAGCTAATGGTGCTTTAAAAATCACATTGTTGGTGCTAAAATCCTAAGACCATTTCTGCTATAACTTTTTGCTACTGTAACACCACAATTTCCCCATTGTGGGACAATAAAGGGATTTTCTACTCTATTCTATTCTAAAATGTCTTTTGATGTGTCTCAAACTGTTATCTTTGGTATTTCTCAAAAGAAAAACCTTAAATATATAAACAAAGTGTGTCTCTGGAACTTTCAAAGTGTTAATTTTTGAATGGTTCTTTACTGTTTTCTGCATCCTTTTTCAACCTGAATGACTCGTCTTAAAAAGAAAGACTCTAAGAAGTAAAAAAAAAAAACATCTTTAGTGACCTAACCCTAGAGGGTTGCTGTCTAAGCTCACCTTAAATGGTCATTAGACGCTTTGTCTGCTTGGAGGGAAAATAGAAAGTGATGAGGGATGGTCCAAGACCCTTGCTCATTACTTTGTGTCAGATTTTAGACAAATAGCAGCCAGTGTCTTTATTAATGAATGCATTGTATCCGTTGTCAGACTCATAATTTGTCTTCCAGCCTTCAGTTTTGTTTGAACTGTTTTAAAAAACGACGGTTAATACATTTTCCAGACCTTTTCTTCTGCATACTTCTTTCCAATATTTTAAACTTTAGTATTACGGTAATTCTAGCTCTTATGGACTCAGGTGCTGCAGAGTGAGTGAAAATACTATCTGCTCTGGAAGTCTAGTTAGCTCACACTCAAATCTAAAGCTTTACATTTGATGTCGCCACACCCATCTTATTTCAATGCATTCCAACTGAAACTATATATATAAGATTAACTGGAAAACATGAAGTGAAAAAAAGAGCCAATTAGTAGTTACTACCAGCAGCTGTGCCTTTTTAATATCTAAAGTTCAGATCCAAGACTAGCAAAATCTTAAACAGCTCCTAGTTTGAACTGCCAGTTGATGGTTCTTTCATTTTTTTTTTTTTTTTTTTACTTTCTCTGTTTTAAGACTTGTTGTAAAAGTTTGAGCCAAAACCTGCTGGATGCTTTTATACAGAAAACACTAAAATGGCAAATAAGAGCAAATCACGAACAGGGGTAAATAGAGACAATCAGTGTGTGTGTGAGTGTGTAGGGGGGGTGTAATGGAGGGAGTCCTACAGACTTGAAAAAAAATATCTTATATTGAATCAAAATAGTTACAGCGTTTGTAATAAACCTGCAGTCTGTACGTCAAACCTCAGGAGACACCAAGAATTACTGATGTCATTATGATTTATTACTTGTTGACATATGGAGCATTTGTTTGAAAATGCTCATTTTCACATTGGTCAGACTCAGAGCATTACATCAGAGGATCACTATCTAACGTACACATCAAACCATCAGATATTTTTCCAGCGTCTAGCTGAGGCCGTCATTCCTTATCTTTAGTTTTTCGCAGCGCTGTCCAAACATATCCTCATGCTTGTTGATGTTAAAGACTTTTAAGTTTAAATATTGTTCATAAAGTGAGCACAAACTGCATGTCACATTTACATTTTAAGTTTTATTTTGCTTTGCAATAAAGTGTCATTTCCAAGCTTATATATATATATATATATATATATATATATATATATATATATATATATATTCAAGTTATTGCCGTTGTAGTTTGTGGTCAGCCTTTTAAATCTCAATAAGTTTTCTTGCTTTAAAGTTAAAAGGACTGTTAAGAAAATCATAGACAGGATCATCCCCACAACTCATCACAATATAATGATTTATTATGATGGAATTATTATAACTGACTATAACTGTGTTCACTTAAGTATTCCCTCCATGTTTCTAATGTTTAACCTCATAAAACAAAAATAAACAAAAAATATTTATTGCCAGCCTTACCTAGAACTTCGCAGCTAATTGAGTGAGACCTCTGCTGTTCAGATGAACACATGACACATAATCTGCCATTAGAAGAAGTAAATAATTTGGGGGGAATTTTTAAGTAAAATTTTGCATTACAGATGTTGGAATCCATTTTTTGCAGATTATTTACCAAGTTTAAAATCCTTACTTTTGCAGTTATATGTCAAAGATTTAATGTTCCTGTTTTATTTGTATAACAAAAAAAGTAATATGTCTTAAATAAAAAAAAAAAAAAGTTAAATTACAGCTTTAAGCATTACTCTCTGTTAAACACCCTAGATTGTGACAGTCTATAAAATTTCTCGTAACGCTGTAAGTAATAAAAGAGTAAATCTGGACATGTAATACTTGAAAGACCTGCCTTCAGGTTAAATAATAATGAAAGAAACCCATTTTAATTGTCATTATAATATAACTTTATTTTGTCAAGCAAAAAGAAAAAAATCTGCATTCAACTTTAGAAAATGTGCCATAGTTTGAATTTTAATTAGAGTAGGTCCTCTTCTATATAATAGACTATCTCTAGAGTTAATTCGAGTAAGAGTGAGACATCCTCAGACATTATCACATCTCTGCTACACACGGCAATATCAGCCACAGGTGTGTGATTGCCGAGAGTGTAGCAGAGATGTGATAGATTACAGAAGATCACTCACTCTTATTCGAATTAACTGTAGCGATATTATATTATATTATATAGAGGAGGAACTAATCAATATAATTGAATATCTCTTCGGTTAATTCGAATAAGAGTGAGACCTCCTCTAAATTATTACATCTCTGCTACTCTCTGGGCAATGGCAGCCACAGGTGTGTCATCGCCGTGATGTTTGTCCCTGCTCGGATTCCATCGCATCGCACATAACATCATAACTGCACAACTACTTCTGCTTTTTGAGCCCCTGCACTGATTTGAATATATTAAAATGTCGTATAAGCCCTACTAGTCGCACAGCATCCGGATTTATTGAAAGGCGCCGCCTTAGAAACATTTTTCACTTTCAACATGGTTTGATGGAGTCGTTGGTAAGTTTAATTAGCGCTTATAGCCTCGGTAGCTACGCTAGCGAACTTCAGATTAGCCGCAAAACTTACGACAGAATACATTTAAAAAATGGATGAAGTTTTCTATTTGCGGAATGGTGGTGAGTTTACTGGCATAAAGAGAGGGATTGTTTCTGTATTACGCATGTTAGTCTGCAAGTAGAGCGTGAAGGTGAATGGATTTACGACATAAGTAAATAAAGCTGATAAAAAAACATTAGTGATGCGTTTACGGGAGGTTGGGAGAGGAGGTCATCACAGATCTGTTCCTGAACCTTAGTTTATGAGCCTTAGAACCTTAGTTTATGAGCAGGGAGGATTAAAGCCAAGTATGTGTTCAGAGGTTAGAATAGAATAAAAAGAATAGAATAGAAAATTCCTTTATTGTCCCACAATGGGGAAATTCTGCTGTTACAACAGCAAAAGATTACAGAAAAAAAATGGTCACACAATGTGGACCTTAGAAAAATGCATAAGAATAACATACTAGTTAAAAAAAATAAAATACTACTGGTGAATGAATAACCAATATACAGCTGTGGACATGTTTACAGTAATGGATATTCGAAAACAGCAACATTAGAGATGTGCAAAATGACAGCAGCATGCTATTATTAGAAACTGTGCAAAATCAGCATGAATGTAACAACTTAGACAGATTTATATAATTCTGTATAAACAAGTGTAAACAAAAAGGATTTTCATTAAGAACATTTCATTTTTTTAAAGTGCTGCCTTAAAAAACAGTAAAAATACATCAACAAAAACAGTAATATAAAAATGACTGTATATTTACAGTTCTAAAATGTAAGTTTTTTTATTATAATAAAATAAAATAACCAATTTTACGCAACATTCAGCAGTCTAATGGATGTGGGGAAGAAACTGCTCTGGAATCTGCTGGACCTGCAGCGGATGCTACAAAGTCTCTTCCCAGAGGGCAGCAGGGAGAACAGTCCATGGTGGGGGGGTGAGGGGTCATTGATGATGTTACGGGCGCGGGACACACAGCGCTGGGATGAAATGTCTTTTATGGAGGGAAGAAGAGCCCCAATGATCTTCTCTGCTGTTCTCATCGCTCTCTTCACCTCCTTCCAGTCTGAGGCGCTGCAGCCTCCACACCACACAGTGAGACGGCTGGTCAGAACGCTCTCTATGGTGCTTCTGTAGAAGGTGGTGAGGATGGCGGGGGCAGGTTGGCTCTCCTCATCCTCCACAAGAAGTACATGCACTTCTGTGCTCTTTTGACCAGTGAGGTGGTGTTTACTGAGATTGTTTGGAAACAGGGATGAGTTTGGGGTCTTATAGCTGCTGGGAGGAAGGATCTGTGATAACGCTCCCTGGTGCATTTAGGTACAGCAGTCTGTCACTGCTAAATTACACGCTAAGGGACACCCAGACTTAGTGTCTTAAAAATCTTAGAAATAACCATACCACTTGTTTTTTTTTTTGTTTTTTTTGTTTTTTTAGTGTAATGACAGCATATTCCTGGTAAAACTAGGGTATAGTATCATTACCTTTATCACATTTTTTTCAATATTACATTTAAAAATTGACCATTTTCCTTTTACTTTGTATCAGTTTTGCATATCAGATATTAAGAGAATATGAAGAAGGTTGTGCAGGAAAGAGTTCATTAGGATATGAGTATTTTTTAAAGTCCCCCGTCTTCATCTTTCTTCTCTGATGAACAGGTGTTCAACAGAAAAGAACTTGGAGCCAGATGAACCGAAGAGGAAGGAAAAGTGGATAGAAAAATGTCCTTTCTGTATATCGACCGGATTCAGATAACAACAAATGCCTTTTGGATAACATGTTCCTAAAGGCCTATTTACTGTGCTGGAGCACTGAGAGAATAATGTGATGGAGAACCAAGAAGAAAGGTGAGCACATGTGTTTCTTAATAATTAACTTCTGAATATGGCTCTTTGAAATGGAAATGTTCATTTCACTACTAAGCTGCTGCACTTTTACTGCCTGAAAGCTGTAGAAAACGAAAATAAGAGTGTCTAATTCTAAGTTTATCTCTATATGATTTCAAAATGATTAAATATTAACAGGAAAAACAGATCCAAAATGGTGTGTTTGTGGCCAACATTTGTTACACATTTATAAATGAGCTAAATTAACCCTGAACATTTTTGTGTTTGTTATATCTAAAAAAAAAATCTGAGGACTCTGGCTTAAAGGTTTGACAGATTATGAGTAGATCCAATTAAATTAGATCTGTTTAATGAACTCCTCCCTGATCAACTAGAATATTTTTAGCGTTTGGTTTTGGAAAAATAATCCTAAAGATAAATGTATTTTGTAAAAAAAAGTTTGGAAAATCTCTGACAATTTCATTTAAAAATCCTTTTTAATTTCAGAGCTTGTTGAATAAAGAGCTTGTTTTTGGGTAGAAATCCTTCATTAAGTTTGGGAAAATTGGCTCCTAAGTTTAAAAGAACAACAAAAGTCAGGTTTTCTTTTAACCAGCCATGAGGAAGCTGGCTCTGTAATTTCTAACCATGCAGTTTAGTCAAATGGTTTACAAAATTCCCTTTCGCATGATTGTTTACTGTTAGCTATGATTCATACAGACAGCTTGAGTTTTCCTGCCTTGAGGTGTGAGAGCATGTCTGACCGTGCAGATGCTGAATCAGCTTTTCTATCTCGATAAATGAATGAATGAGATGAGATAAGATTACAACCTTTCTTTTTTTCTGGGCAACCGTTCAGATTTTCTTTTTACCCTTTATAAAATGTAAATATGTGTTTCTGATCCTGATATTTGCTTCCGTTTTCGTTCGTATCGTATCCAGACGGTTAGGATGAGTGATTTGTCATTTCTGCGCCTGCAGCTCTGCAGATGAACGAGTTCTCCGGGCTCCAGGGAGAGGACTCCTCCATGTCTGGCCTTCGGGGGAAGGAACCGATCAGCTCTTCCCAGAGACGGCATTCTTGTCCAGACCTGTAGTGCAGGTCTCCCTGGGTGAACATCATGGCATGCTTTTGCTACAGGGTGTGTTTCTAACCTACAGTTGACTGATATTTTCTGCTGAGTGACTCATTTTAGTGCTGGCTGGAGCTCATTGTTTGAATTTGCAGGAGGCTTGTTTGTTTAGTGTTTCATTAAGTTTGAAGCCTTTTTTTTTTTTCTAGTTTCAGTTATATCGAGGGTTAATAATCAACAGAAATTAGGCTGTGTGCAGGATTAAAAAGAGTCTTAGCCCTTATTCCTCCCTCAAATAAAGTAGATGATACAAATTTCGCTTTTTGATCCATGTTTTCTGATTTTTCTGCTGGGAAATGATGCCACCCAACTTATGTTGTTTTCCAGGGGGTGAGGTTTTTTCATTCGGGGAACTTTCATGGAGGGGTCTGAGCGTCCCCGTGTCTGCTCCGCTGCTGGAGGCCTCGCTGCTGGAGAGGGTGGTGGTCCATGTGGCAGCTGGTGGCTTCCACTGCGGAGCCATAAGCGAGCAAGGCAGCGTTTACATGTGGGGGGAGAACGCTGCGGGACAGTGTGGGCAGACGGAGGACGGCTCTGTCGCAAATATCACAGGTTTGCATTTTTTCAATGTGCCTCCTTAATTCCTCTCTCAGATTGTTAATTTTAATTAGAACATCTTAACATTTAGTTACTGTTACATTTATAATTTCCTATGGCATCACAAGATATACATCTATCAACAAATAATTATCAGTAATGACACAGCGACCCCATTGTAATATTATTTTTTCTGTTAATATGCTGTTTTGAAGCACTGATAAAGATTCACTCACCTCAGCATGCTGAATGCTTGACATAACAGACTTATCCTCTAATTAATCCAGCTAAAAAGTATTTAACCCCTTTAAAGGCCCATGTAGACTGTGGATGGGCCAGTGCATTTTTAGTCCAAGATGGTCAGTGATCATTTAAGGTGGAAGCAACAAGTTTAACTCCTCCCAACTTGTAATTGGTGTAAAAGCGCTCGCCCACAATCATTCTGCACTATATAACCAGCTGCCCTGTTTGCTAATGCTAATCTTTCAGAGAGACAGAAAGCTCAACTCGTGGCAGCGTTGTGACAGTTCCGGTGGCTCGTCGGGCTGACATGGCGTTAGTACTGGCTGGCATGGCGTATTACTGGCAGCAGCCACTATTCTGACAGTCTGCCACATCGGCTCCTTGTTTACTGACACCGTTTAGGCTGCTGCAGAAGACGTTTTTCACTGCAGAAGCTGGGCGTACACTGTGCAATTTTCGGGGGAATGTTCCAGTCGTGCGAGAATCTTTAGATTGGGCCGACTTTCAGCCTGACCGTGACTCTAGTGTACAAGGGGTTACGAGGGCTGATCAGCCTCTCACGACTGCCTCCCGATCAGGAATCGTGAGGTTGGGAGAAAATCAAACGTATTTGCTCCCAATCGTCGTGGGCAAATCGCTCAGGGCGCATGCGCAAACAAGGATTTTTCTTTTTATTCTTGCTCTCAGATGTAAACACAGCAGCATGGCAGGAATGCAATGAGTGAAATGGAGTTTTTTCTGTAACATTAACAGACCGTAGTAAACACGTTTGCTCAGCCATGTCTTTTTTTCCAAATATATCGTCGCCTTTTTTTTTTAGGGCTTTCAGCGCAAAATTGCACAAATTGCCAAGGCAGCGCGCTTCACTCTAGTGAGCTTCATATTCCTCTCCTATTCGTTTGGCTTCTGGATAGACAAGTCAGGGCAGCTCCACCTCACTGCGGAGCTGAGTCCGACGTGGTTTTTAGTCGTACAGTGTGAGCAGGTAGATTGCATCAGAGCATCGAGCCGAACATAAATTGTGAGCTGTGAACTCACACTGTACGACTAAACCCTGGGATTTAGTCGTACAGTGTGAGCAGTAGCTGCGTGCAGTGATTGAAAAAAATCGCACAGTGTATGCCCGGCTTAAGTAGATTGTCGTTTTAAGGTTGTGCTGTTATTGTTTAATAAACAGTATTAAAAGTTTTATAAAGTCACATTTACTTGATGGAACAAAGTAGTTTATCTGCCAATAAGTGGTCTCTGCTGACACCGGCCCACTATAGTGACAGTCCGGCTCTCCTGCCAGTAGGCTGCACGAACTCCTAGGTTTACTGACACCATATCTATATCTCTATATCTAGATATAGAGA